GCAACTAAAGTCAATGAAGTGTCAAGGCGTTTAAGAGGAAATGCTTAATTATATATGTATATATGAACTTTTTTGTTTTGTGCACACCCAATAGGGAAAGCGGATGGAACGGAAGAATATATAATTGGATGATATTAAACTTAAGCTCACAGATCGGTCTGAAATAGAAAGTCTGTTGTATGGGAGTTGGGTCTATTCCACTGCTTTCATAAGCAAGTATTTATCAACAAAAATTAAAGCTGGAATACTATCCTCATTTAAGATCCCATGTGCTAGCCAGCTTAGCCGCTGTCTCTTGATTCATCGAACTCTGCCAATGTCGCCGTGTATTACCTTTCTCTCGAAAACTCTGTTATCTTGCAGGAGCGAATTTTCGAGTTTGATATTTCCTCGTCGAAAGAGGACTTTACTTTTAAATTGCCTGATGGTGGCCGGGTAGTTAGCATTGCGTACCGCCATTCTTAAGGCCAGGTTTCGATTCCTGGTACGACCAACAACCAAAAGTTATAAAAAATTAATTTAAATATAAAATTAAGTTAAATTTTTTCAAGTGAATTTCTGACTTGAGACAAAGACTCTTCATAAAAAAACATCAGCCGTTCGGAATCGGCTCAGTATAAACTGTAGATCCCTGCATTTCCCATTGGCCAAATAAATAACATATATATATATATGTATAAATACGATGTCTACTTGTCTAATAATAGTGGATATTTTGTCCTCGTTTATTAGCGTACCCATTCTTTGGCGTATAATATAGAGTATGTAGTTACAGGCGCAGTCCTACAATTAGTTCCTAGTCCTGCATCACTGGGACCCCTTTAAGCGTATTTCTGACCAACTAACGGCGCGATTCTTGAGATTAATGAATCAATATATTTACAGGAAGCACCAAAAACTGAAAACCCTTGTGAACATCTTGTTGTTTAAATCAGAATTAAGTTAAGAAGTGGTTTAAAAAAGTGTTTCCAAACTCTGACTGCATTTATATCTATCCAAGACTAAAAATAACAAAATAAACAAATCAGCTCTTTGACCAGACCAGTCGTCAGTTATGACTCGCTGATGAGAACTTTTTTCGTAGTGAACGGAGTTCAACAGCTCCGGTATTTCTAAAAAAAAACGTAGTATGCATAGAAAGAACTTGGCTTCATTCCATCTGAAGCCCGAATTATGTGTAAAGAACGTATAAAACGACATCATAGTTGTAGTCTGGCCCTGGGAAATTTCTCAAGCGCCTATAAGAGAATTAATTAATTTTACTTTTTTGGCTTATTCAATGATTTCTGTCGACGTTTACTTGTTTTGGCGTCCAGCACGTACTAATCTTTGGTCACATCTTCTTGGTCCACCGGGTGGTTGCATTGGTCACAAATAATAAATGGTATCAAAATTTATATAGAACCTTCGAACAGATTAATATTTGCATTAGGAAAACCTACTTTAGATTAAGAAAAATACTGCATAGTCTCTTAGAGGTTATGGGTCCGCAGGATTATCATGAATTATACATCTAGCTTAGTGGATAATAAATTATGTATCGGTACGGAAAAACCATGTACTATAGATAGAGGACACGAGCATTACTTTGATCTAATAAAGGGTCTCCCAATAAAGCTGTTACTTTGAGTAGCCTAACATACCAGTAAATATCACATTTGAGGCTGTAATTTTTTGCCATTTGACAACAAGTAATAAGAATGGAACGATACATCCTTCAAAAACGCATTATAATGATTAAAATTCACTATAAAAATTTTAACGAAAAATCATCTTTACTGATGAGGCCCGTTCCACCTCGATGGCTGCGTCGGTAAGCAAAACTGTCGCATCTGGGTCGCAAAAAGCCCAAGATCTATTATTGAAAAGCCTCTCCATCCTCAAACGGTCGGTGTCATTAAAATGTATTTTTTCAAAAATAAATGTATTGCGATATCGAGTGATGATTAATGACTTTTTATGGCCTGACTTGGAAGGTATTAATCTAGACAACGTTTACCTGCAACAAATGCCGCTACGTCCCACACGCTTAATGAAATCAACAATTTTTAAAGAGAAAGGTTTCTTCGAATATCAAAATAACACCTCTCATTAGAAAATCCAATATTTAATAATTTTTTGATATGACAAATTTATTGCTTTGAGTGTTGAGTTGACTCTGATTATTCAAACCAATTCAACCAAGTTTTAAAATCATCATTTAATGAGCCATAAGTGTCAGTTAAAATAAGTCAATTCTTATAATTTGTTCAGGAAGTATGTATGGGCATATGTAGGCAGGTAAATAAATTCATATATCAAAGACAAAAAACCACAACACCGTTAAATTGCTTCTCTTTCAAAAATTTCTCTCACTGTATGTAAATATTGCCAACAAAAGGATATTTGCAAAACTGCTTTCATGTTTTTCTGCAGCTAAACAAGCATCCGGTGCAAGGAAATGAAATCCATCTAAGGCGGAATGAGTAAGAAAAAAACTCTCACTTTGATATTGAAGCCGCAAACACACAGTTGAGTGTCAAGCAAAAAAAAAAATGTTGTCAACTTTAAGGAATGTTGACGTGTGAAGCTGGCGAAAGAGTTCTATAAACATACGTATAAATACATTGACGCGCGTTTTTATTGGAGAATTTGCTTATGAGAGATGCATGCAAAGCATTCAGTTTTTTCTCTATTTCTGTTGGAAACGTCATTCTCGTATAAGCGTTAACAAGGCGATTGGCAGTGTCATCATATCCTTTGAAAATATTTTTTTTCCCAACTGAAAGCTCGGGAGATGTGCGTGTTGTTACTCTATATCCATTCTTTGTTGAACTGTTCTTATTGCATGCACATGACACACGATTATCTTGTTGCTACAAGGCAGCAATGTTGTTGTTGTTAAGGAATTTCGGTAACACGGCAAACAGAGTAATTTTAGAGAGTTCTCATATCGGTGGCCCAGGAAGCTTGCTTAAATTTTTTTTCATTTAAATATTTGCTTTAGTAAAAGTTTTTTCTGCGGTCGCCACTCGACAGGGAAAGTCAGGCTCTCCGAGTGTACATTTGCCATGAAATAAATGCTCCTTTGCAGAACTTTGGTTTCGCCGATTTCGTTCAGAAGATCATTTACAGAAAGTGTCGATAAAATAATGAAAATCATCGGTCTGGCCATCATTGTGAGCAGTGCTTCGATTGCCTAAGAGCCTCCCAACATTACCCAAGAAATATTTTCGAACAACTTGAAAAAGGATAGATATATAGAGAAGCTTAATAAATAGGTGCCACATAAGTTAACGAGAAAAGACATCATGGACGGAATTTCTTTATGAAAATCACTGCTAAAACGTAATAAAATCGAAAATATTTTGAGCCGGTTAATGACTGTTGATGAGAAATCGATTTTGGTGGGATTGGCAAGGAATAAACCACGTATATTAAAGCCAAACTCTTAATTCGGACCTATACTGAGAGTAATTGAACTCTCTGAAGAAAGAATAGTCCCTGAAGCTCCCAGTTTGACCAACACGATGGAATTGGGTTTCATCATCAGGACAACGCCAGAACCTCACATCGATACGAAGTCGCTAGAAGTTAGTTGGGTGGTTCTTATGCATCCATCTTATAATACGGACCTCGCATCAAGTGATTACGGTCTATTTCTGTCTAAAGATGATTTAGAATAAAGCATTTAACTTAATGGAAAAATAATGGATGACTTGTTACTTAACCTAATATTTTTAAGCAATTTTAAAGGCAATTTTAATCAAGAAATGTCGAATGGCAATTGTTATATGGCCGGAAACTTTCAACAGAGAAACGAACAAAGTAATGTTGGCTCTATTCTTTAGTAGGGTGGTCCAAGCTTGCGCTGCATTGAGTACACTTGCTAGTCTACCTTGCAGTGCAACTCTTCATTATCACCATTACGCCATGTTAAGCTAAAAAGGTCTGTTGCGCCATTTGCTTATGTAAAAAAAGATATTACGTAGTCTCGTGCCTGGTCTCATGCAATCGAAAGCTCGCCTGAACCTTCTTTGAAAGTTCCTAGTCACTCAAAACTTAGGTGGAAGGAACAGAAGCAAAATCTTCACGGTTTGACAAAAAAGTGACAGATTTAGACCTCAAGCAACTTTTTAAGTTTCCAGAAAACTGCAGGATTTTACATATGGAAGTTTTTTTTATAAAGTAAGCCTCTGAGCTAGCTAACATCAAAGGAAACTCTGATAGCTAGACAAATATTTAAGAAAAATTCCTTCGAGGCAGGAAAGCAGCTACATATGTGCTGAGTTCAAGGCTACAGGTAAATTGGATAGGCAATGATACTAAGCTCTATTCTCAAATGCAGATGATTGGTCGATACTATCTCTGATCAGGAAACCGCCAGATGTCGTCAGATCATCATTTGCCCAGCGAAGTATCTATGCTACCAGTTGGGAAGCATAATGTAAAGTTCTGCAAGTAATATATGCAGGTATGCTTTGAAAGTGAGAGACACAGTAAACATTTGCTGAAAGCCAAGTCATCCCCTATGCATAAGGACTGCATTTAGCAACACGTACAAAAATTTACTGGACAGGACGGTTTACGGACAAACATTAAACGCCATTCACTGAGAGTCCGTTACCACCTTCGTAAGCTCTCTTCCAGTGAAGGACGTTCTTGAACTTAAACCAGCCCCATAAATAGCCTCGCGTAATACTGGCGCAGTTAATATTAAGATTCCAGTAGACTAAATACCTACCCATCTAGACTTGACCACGACATAACCAATGTAAGTCTCGCATGCAATGAGACCCCACTCAATACTAACTACCTCTTTGCATGCCTCACAAAACCTACTTATCTAACCACATATTTCTTCTAGTTAGAATCCGTAAAAAAACTCGTTTCATTGACTTCCCACTGGGTCACGCCGTTAAGCTTTCTAATATAAAAACGTAGTATACAATTAGGCAGAATGCCGTAATATAATAAAAAAAGATACGCTTAGCAGTTATAGTTGCTTTATAAGAAAATACCTGAAATGCCACGAGATTCCAAATTTCTTCATGTGATGAGAAGACACAAGCTGTGTAGTTGCGCCCTTTGAAGTAATAAAGTTGCACCGAGTGTGATAACGCTACTGGTATAGCTGTCGTCAGGATAAGTACCCAAATACAAATGATGGCACTGTAAAAAATATGAATTTCCACGTTAGAAAATGTAGTTTTAAAAATTTTAGCTTAAATTTAGTTAATCAAATTAAAACACAAATAATTTTTTAACCTACTTTATTAGCGACACTCCGCCTAAAATTATGCTATGAAATATATTTTGAGCTTAAAAAATATTTCTAAAATTGTTGCAATTGAAGTGAAGCATTATTTTCGGGCGAGGATTTCTCACAATCACTAGGATTCACAGAATTAGCTTATTTATTGAAATACCTCAATATGACTCATGTGTAATAAGTAAATAACGGCAATATTATCGTTACTTACAGCGTCGCATTACGTTCCGTACGCAATGACATACTCGTCACTGGATGTACGACAGCCAAAAACCGATCCAATGACATCAAGACCAACGTGTAGACGCTGCCATGACAGGTGACCACAATCATGTATTGTACAAATTTACACCACGCATTACCGAAAGGCCATTCGGGTAGCACGTAATCGGTAGCGGTGAAGGGCACACAAAAGATGACGAAGAGTATATCCGAAATGGCGAGATTAATGATAAGAAAATTCGTGGTGGAGCGCATTTGTTGATTGACGAAAACAACTGAAACGAAACAAGCGAGGATAAATGAGCGCACAGAGTAGGGGAATTAATTATAAAACGGAAGAGCTGAAAGGATTACAATATATGTACATACATATAATGGATGTGCAAAATCAAGAAAAACGTAGGAGTAAAAAATAAACAACAATTTTTCACTCCTACGTTTTTCTTGGTTTTGCTCATCCATTATTCAGTCACACATTTGGAGTGTTTACGCTTTCTTCGCTGTTTATTTTTGTATTTGTTACGCTTGTAGAACATGTGGATAGCGCATATTTATAGAAACTTTAAATATGATTTAAAACATTTTCGGTGCTTAAATCATATCGGTACTTACTTGGGAGTTACTATTTGACCGGCTAAACTCGAGCTATCATTATTATTCATTCCTACAAAAGTGAGTTTCAATGAAATTTAATGCAAACTCTTGTAGGACTCAGAGATGTGATTTGGTGACTGATGCTCAGGTTATGCTGAATTTACTAAGGTAACACTTCCCGAAACTGCAGAAGGGATGTTGAAACCGAGATCCCAACCATTCGGTAGTTTCCTCGTATCAATTTGTTAATAAGTTCTCACAGAAGGTAGGTGTGCAAGCCGAGTAAGAAATCGTCCGGCGATCTTTTGTGATTGTAGCTTTTCGCTGCGATAAGATAGTGATCCGAGTTGATGTTAGTACCGGGGAACATACACACATCTAAAACACTAGATACATGTCTTTCGCCTATCACAGGGTAACGCGGCTCTCTCGAGGCAGCTCGAGCTCGTTGTCTGCTATAGGTGGTTGTTTTTCTCCGAGTACGCAATTTACTGGAAGAGAGTCTTTGAAGGTGTTGACTGACTCTTGGTGAATGGAGTTAAGTGCTTGTCTCTAGCATCCCAATAGGAACTGCTTGCACAGCAAATCATTCTGCTCCTTAACTCGTAGCATAGATGCTTCGCTGTGCAAGTGATGCTCCAGCGACATCAGGAAGTTCTCTGTCGCGGTCCTGAGGGCGGTGTTCTGGCAGGCCTGTAGCTTCTTTATCTGCGTCTCGTTCTGCTATTTCCAGACTGGATAAGGAGGCGAAGGATATGGGTCTGGTAGTGAACGAGGGTAAGACGAAATATCTTTTGTCATCAAACATATAGTAAGCGTATTTACGGCTTAGCTCTCACGTCACTCTTGAAAGTCATTACTTCGTAGTCGTCTATTTAGCTTTGAAAGTGTCTATGGAGTACCCGCCGCTTGAAGCAGAGGCACGGGAAGACCTTCGCTCCGTTGGAAGAATCAGTTGAAAAGCACCAAGCAGCGAAGGGAGGCAGGCTGCTGTTGATTCGGCTTACGCCACTTTATTTTACCTTATTTTATATTATTTTATTTCATTTTATTTTATTTCGTTTCATTTTAATTTATTTTATTTTAATGAATTTTTTATTTTATTTTATTTTATTTCATTATTATTTTATTTTATTCTATCTTATTTTATTTTATTCTGTTTCATTTTATTTTATTTTATTTTATTTTTTTTTATTTCATTATTCTTTTATTTTATTCTATCTTATTTTATTTTATTTTATTTTATTTTATTTTATTATATTTTATTTTATTTTATTTTATTTTATTTTATTTTATTTCATTTTAATTTATTTTATTTAAACTTATTTTATTTTAATGGATTTTTTATTTTATTTTATTTTAATGAATTTAATTTTAATTAAGTTGTTTTATTTTAAGCTAACTTTTTTTTTTTGTTTTTTTTTTTTTATTTTTTTGAATTTAATTTAATCTAATTTAATAAAATTTTATTTAATTTAATTTTTCTTTATTTTATTATATTTAATTTTTTTAATTTTTTAAATTTAATACCGTTTAATTTAGTTAAAATTAGTTTAATTTAATATTATTACGTGAATGGCGCGGTCTTCGTCCATTACTTATATAAATATATCTAAATTTATGAATAAAAATGTATTTCAAGGACACACAGCGCATTGCAAAACACCAAGCCCTTTTTTGTTAAGCTAAAATGAGCTGCGTTAAAAATATGGCACTTTAAGGTGACAAATTTGCTGTGAGTTTAAATAAATGTAAAAATTGTTTAAGCCTTCTCTAGGAAACAAACCTTAAATCATTTTTTCACGCAGGCAACTTTGCATATATGTACATATGTAAATATGTGGGACCCGAAGTATTCTTAATTACTTTTCTTATTTCTAACTAAGCTTTGCCATTTGTATGTATGTACTTCACTCATAGTGGATGTTAAATATGTAAATATATATAATTTATGTCCTCAGAAAAAGATAAAAAGGACATGTGCACCAAACAAGCTTAGTCATGTCAACATTGTGGTTAACAAATCCCAAATACATTCAGCTACATGTACACAAATGAATATACAAACACAAAAAAATTAAAAAATATATTTGTAAATTGTCCTTTTGCAATGGACTTAAAAATGATTTTAAATTGAACAGAAAAATTTGGTACATTTTATAAGTCACTTAAGTTTTAACAAAATAACAAACAAACAAGAGACAAAGTTTTATACATACCCATACACATATATCCATCCTTGAATATTATGTACTACTAAGCCATTGCGGACACAAGAAGGCCACTAAGCATCTGCTTCGAGGTGAGAATCTAGGTGTGTATGCCATGCCAGAAAAAAAAGAGAAGGAAAAACATGACAAGGACACAAGTGGCCAGTTGTGGGTGTGCAGCCTTGCAACGGCTTTACAAATTTAACCAAAAGATAAATACATTTGGTTTGGGCTTATGGTCAGACGGATATACGGGAGAACAAGAGAGAGATCGTAAAAATTTATAAATTTGCTATGATTACTATGAAACAAGACGACTCTCTACGGCAGCGCAAAAGCCAAACCATCACTGAGAGTTATGGGCTTCTCAGTTTCACTAAGTTGTGCATTGCTTCACTGGCTGTCTTTGTATGTCTTCATTCAAAATATCACCGCCATATATTCTAGGTCTCTAGCAACATATTTGCTTATCAGTCAGCCACAAAGATAACATGGAATTGGAACTGTGTACTCAAGAATTCAGAGTTACCAAATCCAATCGGTTTTTGAACTTTGATCTGAGTATTATGCTGAAGTACTGTGCCTATAGACGTCGTTGGCCTAACCAACTTTTCCGGTAGATAACCACGAGAAATCCATTGTCATCGATCCTATTTTTAATGACTTATTCTCTTTTCTAAGTCCGTAAAGGCAGATTTATGAGAAGATGGCCATTAATATCAAAGACTGCTGACTAGTTCAGATAGCTTGTGGAGAAACCTTCTACCAAAAAATAAATGACTATAATTTTAGGTAATAAGGCAAACACTGAAGAGAGTAGCGCCTGGCCGATCCCTTTCTCATAGAACCAACTCTTTTTTATATTTTTGCCTAATTCGTGAACATTGATTCTGAATATTCGTTCACATTCGTTCTAAGATTTTGTTTTGATTTTGAATGTCTCTCTCGCTTCTAAAACACCACATTAAAAATTAGTTCCACTTTTTTTAGCACACTGTAATCTCATGTGCATGCAACACTTTCCAGTACTAAGTGAAATTCGCACATTGCTTAGTCCTACCCCACATCATCATAATCATCAACATCCTTAGTTGCTTACCCAGATATTCGCACGAGTATTCACACGGCTAGTTTTCCTTTTGTGGTAAGGATATTTTGTAACAAATCTCTGTATATATATATGTATTGTGCAATATTTAACAATCCTTCTTAACCTGATTGGTAAGCTCAAGGGTGTGAGACTGAAAGAATTTAAGATTTAAAGAGGATCTAAAAATAAAATAGCTTTTCTTTATTAATTTTCAGGTGTTCTCTTAGAACAAAACCACATGAAGGCGGAAGGAAGTTCGCTTTGATGTTGTGATGACTCAAGTGAACGTGACACGAAGATGGAAAATGTAAGGTTTAACAATTATTTTGATTTCACAAAGAAAGCTTAAGATGTACATTTTTCTATAGAGCGAAAAAAAGGAAACAATGAAATAGATAGAGTAGGAGAAGGAAGGGGAAAAAATGCGCGAGCCCTTATTGAACAATTCTAGCAACAAAAAATTTTCTAATTCTTACTTGGGCTAGGAAATCAAAATATAAAATTGATCCATTATGCAAAAGATCACAAATCTCATTCTCATTCCATTTGTTTTCATTTTTATCTTTATCTTTATCTTTATCTTTATCTTTATCTTTATCTTTATCTTTATCTTTATCTTTATCTTTATCTTTATCTTTATCTTTATCTTTATCTCTATCTTTAAGGAAATGTATATGTGCAATGCAAGCCAAAGAAAGACCGAAAGCTGCAAATAAATCCTAAATCTCAACAAAAAAAAAACGTAAATATCTTTTTGCTAACCACGCTGGTCCGTAATACACTATTGCAAGCGTTTTGGTGAAAATACAAACAAGAAGCGAATCAAGTGACTTAAGATGGGTAGAAAAATACAAAATAAAAATAACGAAAAAATACAGAAAAAATTCAGTATACAATATAATGACCTTGGCTTTCAACTTGGCACCGAAATAACTACAGTACTCTGGTTAAACGCTACTCGGTCGCCAACATGACAGTAGTACAACTCAGTAAGCCAAGCACGTATGCAATCAACACATAAGTATGTCATGCATATGTAGTACTTATATTGTACAATATATAGCCTGGCGTATAACTACTAGAATATAATCTTGTGCTCATGGGCTTAAGTACATGAAAGTACTACAGCACTGAAGTGCACTCGACGTCGGCACGCCTGAATACTTTTACACCTGAGCTACAGAAAGAGCACGATGGTCTCTCTCTCTGAATTATTTTTATGTCGTGCGATTTGAAAAATAATTTTAGTTTTTGTTTCCTTCCGTTTTTTTTTTTTATTATGAAGTTAGAAACAGCATTTTCATTGATTTCATTTTTTAGTTTTACTATAACTACTATAAAAAATTATTTTTTTACCAAACTCGTTTAATAACAAATGGTTTGGAAAGGCTGAGAGTGCCAATTCTGACAAAATTTCTTGAGGGGTACACGTTAAAAAGTCATATACATTTTGATGGCGGCAGCTTTTCTACGTGTTATATGAAGAAGATTCTAAAAAGTACTTTCATTTCAACGTCAATGGTGAATTTTGAATCCTCCTGATAATTGAATCCTCCTTTTTGTAGATTGGACAGAGAACTTTTAGAATCCAATTCTCGTGGCTTACCTGACGACACCTGGCAACATGTAAAGTTCGATGTTGTAGGTTATATCTTAGGTCTACACATGGAAAAGGTGAAGCCGACTGTTGCATATGAAGGAGAAGTGGTACCGTGAGAAAAATTAAGCTAAATTTTCTAACAACGTCCCCCCCTCGGCAGAGTATTCAACCCCTCTGAGTGTATTTATGACATGGAAGAAGAGCTCCTCATAAAAACCATCATCAGAGGCGTATTCTTATAAACTGTAAGTCTCTCAATTGGTATGAGAAACACCAAGACGCAAAACCATAAATTGGAGCAGGAGTTCGGCCGAAAATCGCTTCTGCGGTTACAAAGCACCAATTATATATATATATATATTCCATTTTTCTTTTATCAGACATAACGAGACGCTTCAGATATGGTTCGAGTCTAGTCTAGTTTCAGACTGGTTTCTCTGATGAAAACTAGGGGAATACCATTTTTTTGGGTTCATTCATGTCGCATTCAAACATCGTCTTTTCCTGAGTAGCCGGTTTGTTTTAGATTATTTGAAACTGTCTAGTGATTTATGTCTAGTGAGTGACTATGAATTAGGCACAATTTTCTAGGTGAAATCCCAAATTTGCTTATCTGTCTGCAATTACGAATATGGACAGTGTAAAATCAGTTAAATTAATGGGCACCCTATGCGTTGGCCACCTTCAATGCAACCGCCGCAAGGCGAGCTAAACAAATATACCTACGTATAAACGTGTCTGTGTATGTGTCGGCCTCTGCTGCGCAACTGATTTGCGAAAACCAAAATTCAAATAAAAAATGTTTCACTGCCACACAAAAAGGTGTTGATTTATGAAGAGCGAAATTTACCACACACAAACATACACACATACATATACACATTGTGTATATAAATAAGAGTAGGATTTCTCGATATTTAACTGTAATTTCACACCAACATAAGGGCAAATATTTTGACTGTGACAATAACAGCGTTGCCGCAAATATTGGCTTAAATGTCGTAAAAGTGCGACCGCAAATCCATTACACCGTTATATACATACACTTAAGTATACAACCAACAATGTTTGTTTGCATTCATTTGCTATTTGGATGTAGTGAAGCAAAATCACATATAGCCGGACATACAGACACTCATATACACACACACAAATAGAACTGCAAAAGTAAACACCGATTGGCGCGAATATTTTTGTGTTCTACAAACGACTTTGTTTATATAATATGTAAACTATTTATATAAATATATATTTAACTTACCCAAAATGACAAGCGCATTCCCCAGCAGACCAGCCAGTCCAATAATTCCAAAAAATACGGGCACAATCGTTGACACAACACGCTCCAATGGATCAATTTCGAAATCCAACAAATTATCGTGGGGCAGCGTGTAATTCCCATCGCTACCACCTCCAGCTGCCGCCATCGCCGCCGCTGCTGCTACAGCGCTGTCCTGTCCAGGCAGCCCAGTGAAACTCGCGCTTGTGCCTCCTGCGCCTAGGCTATTGTCCATGGTCGTGGCATTAATACAGTCGACGAGTGTGTAGCCGCTGCTACTCCAGTCGGGTGGGCAGAGCGCCGGCAACACTGCCATTGTTGGACGTACAACCAGTGATGTCGATAGCGCAACCATAACAGGCGCCGTCGGGCTGAGTGTGGGCGAGATGCTATGATTGTGTAGCATTTTCGGGTTGTTCATGTACTTTGAGTTTTTGTGTTTGGTTTTGTTTGCATTTGGTTGAAAAGTACTTGCAAAATCGTTGTTGATTTTGTTATTGTAGTGCTGCAAGTGCGTATTAAATTCACAATGTTGGGTGGTGTAGGGTGTTACTGTTACTGAGCCTGTTCTTCGTTTCGTTTCGTCTACGTTGTGACTAGAATTAGTAATTGCTCTCACATAATTTCCTGCCTTTTTATTATCCAATTTAATTTTGGCGACTCTGAAAGGAGGGAAAAGTAAATGAAATTAATCTTCTGCAACTGTAGCCGTAAAAGTCATGCAATAAATGAAATTAATCTCTTCATTGAAATATAATAAATATTTTCAACTTTCCCTTACTCTATTAAAAAGAAATTTGCAGCTGAATAAATGGTGAAATAAATTTATATTAATCATTTAAATATGCTTCGGGGTCAGTTGATAGAGAAGCGGAGCCCTAATTCTTTCATTAACAGCGCGATTTTTTTTAACTTTTCGTTTTGAAAAGTTTTCACATCGCACGTACCCAAAATTCCACTCAGTTGTGAATATCTTATATATTTCGAATACTACTCATTTCCACGCATATTACATACTCCTAATCACCCTGAGTTGCCTCTCAATTACTCGAAACTCAATTCAATCCCGCCCACTTCTGATATTCAAACATCCATTGAGCGCCGTACATCCCACATACCCCAAAATCCGCTAAGTTTAACCCACTTTCCATATTCAAACCTCCATAGACCTTTGCACATCTCGCTGATCCTAAAATCACTTTTCATGTTCAAAATTTCACTGAGTTCCGTACATTCGAAATACTGCAGCACAATTGGATACTCCAAATCTTAAATCCATTGAGCTCTGGATTCTTAAGATATCCCATTATCGAACCATTTTTTCCTTGGAAAATATTTCCGCGCAATTTCGGGCCGAGTAGAAGTATTCAAACAACGGTAAGTAAGAACTGTATACTAGTAACATGAGAACACATGGAGATAGCAGATGCAATTATATTAACATAGCTTCTCCGATCTTATTAGTAAATTTGTAATAGATGTAATCCAAGTTCATTCTAATAAATCCTGAGATCATTTTCTATAGTATCGAGTCATATTTATTAAGCTCTTTCGCTGGCAATCGCAAAGTCGATAAACTTGCGGGAATGAGTCGTTTATACTAGTCAGAAAACTTACGATAATGTGCATCGTTATTATTTGGTCAGGGGTGGATTGAAGGAGATTGGATCGGATCACCTTCCACTACTGACCAAGTCACTCTAGTTGCTTTTGCACTACTCAATTGGTACATATGCAGCCTGGTGATATGGATGACTGTATTTTCCTTCCTCTGCCTGGAAGATGGTGAGTTATAATCATGTCGATACGAAGGTTTTTACATGTTAGGTTAGATTGAAGTGATTTTTGAGCATCAGCTTACTTCGGCTATTAAACGGATGCTTCGAGATACAGCTACGAACTGAGAGTCTCCACCTGCTGATGTGAAACTGATTCCTACATTTCATCTCTTCTCTAAAACTCATGTAGCAGAGCTCATTTGGTGGTACCTCTGTTTGCTATACCAGAAGTTTTATGTTCAATATCAGTATAGTTATCGATAACGATCTCGATTACGTTAACTAACTTAGTGGCAGTCACAAATTTTGCCTCAGCTCCGTTTGAGAAACGGTCTCTAGTTTAAGTCCCAGTTTCATTTTCAATTTTATTATAGTTTCTCTATCGTTCCCGATCTAGCTCCCTCATACTGTGTAAATCTCCATCGGTGCCTTAATTTCTTATTCCGTCATGGCCACAGATGGTGTTTCACCTTCAGGTTAACATTTTCGATGTCATTACATATTTAACTCTCATTGGTTGTATTAGTTTAGCAACTCGCTATGTTTCCTTCGTCTGTTTCCCCTTGTTTCATTGTTAGGAAGCGATCATAATTTCAGTCTCGAATTAAGTTAGAGTTTCAGTCTTCATCTGTCTCTGTCGATAACAGTTAACAGTTTCTGCGCTGTTATCACTCCCTTGTGGGAGTGTTTCTTTCTCTGAGAATCCAAGGCTTTCTCTCCCTTTTTGTGTATCTTTAAATTCTTTTATTTATAAAATTTTTAAAATCTGCAACTGTTTAAAAATTTTAAATTTTTTTCATCCAATATCTCATAACGGTTAATTTTTACAGTTTTCATTTGCTTGACATGCAAGAGAGCAATAAAATTTCTGATTAGTTATGAGACACAATCAGAATGTTTCGACAGTGGCTTATGCATGAACAAGCGAAAATTGGCATAATTAGAAATTTTTTTCTTCATTACTTCATTTCCCAAAGCAATTTCACTCCACAGTCAACAGTCAGTTAGTAGCAGCTCATTTCTGCGCTTAAATTGATTGAAATTCTTGACAATTTTATGATGACACTGATATGTGTGTTTTCTGTGTAGGGCGATGTTTGACAAATATCGGTGAAAAATGTACTCCAGTCTTAGTTGAGCATGGGACTGGTCCATTTTTGATAGATATACATATTTTTTTTTAATACGCCAGGCATACGTAGACTAACGCTCCAAGAGAGTATGCGGAAAACATCACATCAAATATTTGTTCTGTTAAAGATAAAATACCGGATATTAAGCTAGCTTCAGAGTACGGCTACGGCTATGAATTTCTCACGATATCTCTGATGGAAGAACTTCAATATAATATTATTTTGCTCCAGCTTTAATACTAGGAGACTTACTGGAAGACTTGCTGAGTTTGGCGTCGTTTTTTCGAGAGAGGACTTTACTTTTCAATTGCATACTCTGTTCAAAGTAGCAGCTATTGACAAGAGTTATTCTGGGTTTTTTGACGGGCGTTCTTTGAAACGCAGAGGCGTGGGCGCTCAAATTTTCGGACCTCGGAATGTACGCACATCTAGAAAAAATTAAAATATGTCGTCCAATATCACAGCATAGTCAATATGGTTGCGATTTTTTGATTGCGATTTTAGGGTCTTTCCTCCAGCAGTTGTGCCGATGCCATCAAGCACAATTTCGACATAGGAGAAAAAACTCATAAGCATGCTCCAGGTGCTTACAAAAGGCATCTTTGATTACATCGTGCTGCTCTCCCATCGAAAATCTGCAACCAACTTTGCTGCGGCAGACTTTAGAAGGCAGGACCTTTCCTCAGTAATCGCCCCTTCGATCGCATTTTTATAGTCTTACTGGGACATTGACCAGATCAATAGTGGTAACTTCCCAATTAAAGGACCGGACATTCTGGATAAGTGGCTCAAACCTGTGATCCGCAAAGCCCCCAAACGATTCAGAAATTTTTAATGTTTTTTTTTTTCAATATGAGACACCGTCTGAGGATCCATCATAATGAAATTACAGAACACCTTAAGGTGTATATGTTATGGACCCGTCCATCTCTGAGAACTTTTTCTACCCTCTTTCTCTACTACCTCCCGCTATATATATTTACACATGTGTAAAAAAATTGCAATTGTGTGTTTACTTGCGGAGCGCTTTGGATTGCAATAACGTATTATATCATCTGTTTTAATTAAATTGTTTCTTTTGTTTTTCACTTTCACTCACACTCCTACCACAAACACATTCGTTCATCTGCTGTTTTCATGGAAAATCTCTACGCAAGAACAAGCCTTGCGTTGTATTTTATTGTGATTTTTAGTAGCTGCCACTGCCGTATGTGCGCATTTTCAGCAAAAATGATTGACATTTTACGAGTTTCTCACAAAAGCGGGTGTTAATTTAATTGTGTTTTGTTGGGACTGCCATTGTTGCTGCTGCATCGTTGTACTCAACTCGCCGCATGTTTAGTATACTCGTGTATGTATGTGTGTGTGTGGCTGAGCTGTCATTTCGATGTAATAATTTCAACTATTCCAATTAATTTGCCTTTTTTCCATTGTCATTCGCTTGTAATATATAATATGTATGACAGCTGAGCTTTTGTGTATCTCTCTCATATTGACAAGCATTTCGTTTAGATTGAGGCTTAGTTTTTTGTGCTTTGTCATGTCATATAGTTAGTGAAATTAACATATGTTCGCATTAAGGTTTATAATTGATTTCTGATGTGCGAGCTAAGTGTTTGGAGCCTAAATTCCCTGTAGGGAATTTGACTTTCTTAAAGATCTTAGCAACTCATCTCAGCCACTGAACTATATACATACATATGTACATATAAAAAAACGTTTGGTTGTATGTTTATTACCAATCTTAATCTCCGAAGTTACCCGGAAAATTGTAGCGAAAATTTGTCTATGGTTCGTGAAAAGGTTTGCACGAAAAAATGTTGAGGGAAGCGGACCAGGAACTGATTTATAGGAAAAAAATCCCATTTATGGTTTGATTCACTTGAAATTCGGTGCTTGGATTGCTTTTTGCTTAGAGTAGCAGAATTATTACTATTCTCTCCGGGATCTGGATCAGAGCTTGATAAACATCTCAGATTATAGGAAATTTATTTATTTAAAAAACTAAGTTCATTTTACTAAAGGCGGTCGCCCCTAGGCAAAAAATGTCAACCGTTCGGAGTATATTTCGGACATGAAATAAAAACTCCGCACCAAAGTCAATAACGAGTTCGGAGGCGGCGCGATATAAACTGAAGAAACATAAAAACGCACAACACAAAAAGGATGGAGAGCTCGACCGAAAATCGTTTCGGCGGTTACAAAGCGAAAAAGGATTCGGAGAGCTGCGTCTATTAGGACGTCATTCATTTATTGATGTGACAGCGAAGCGCATCACAGAAATTTTGAGTAAACATGCTGGCCTGAAACAGCTTTTCGAAATACCGTTAGAATTTTTGAATGGATATAATTTATGTATATATAATGAGACAACTGTTTTAGAGTAATCTGAAAAGAGGTTAAATTCGATTTTGTATAGATATTTGTGAAGAAAAGCTCAAATCGGTAAAGCTTAAATCGTAGCAATAGAAGCTCATATAACCGATTTTAAACATGTAGATAAAAACTGTAGCTGTAATATTAGACTCCCTAAATGGCAATCGAAAGCGCAAGCACTATTGAGACTACAGAGAGTTCTATTATAAAAAAGCACTGCATACTTGGGAAGTAAGATTCATACATGTAGATAGCCTGGTGGAGTTATTAGATCTAGAAATCCTACCAAAATTTCCTGAAAAAGTATTAGCGCTATAGTAAGTAGATAAATAACAGAAACAAATTTTGAACAAGCTTCTGCGTAAACTACTAAAT